ATAAATATGCATATTTGTAAAGCTATAATATCCTATATATTGCCGAAAAATTACAATTTTTTTCTCTGCAGTTATTATCTCTGTTGATAATCGAACTTTGACGATAACACTGAAATCGCAATTTTAAAGAAAACTCGAGTTATTGAGTTTTAAATGCACGTACACCGATAAACACGTCTACTAAACTAATAAATCATAAAATTAGTACAATATTATCAGTTTTTTTTACTCTTAATAACTTCAATATTAACAAGGACGCGAACTTCCATAAGGATGTCGGTCTTTAATAATATCTCGTCGGTGGTAATATAGAAAGCATCTCACTTATGTTTGATGTAGAAGTTATTATTTGATCTTTTATGTTGTAATGAGAATGATAGGAAATGATAGAATTGGGTAAATGTTCAGTATATGGCCCCCACCTTCGATTTTCCTATAAAAAATTTTGTGTATTTTTATATGTAGAATGTATTCCGAGAAGGAAAATTGTCGGACAAGTTTCGTTTTTTTTATTTAATTTCAAAGTTTTTGATGTCGGTAAGTTGGAAAATGATACCTAATAATAATTTACAACTGCGCATGCTCATTAATGTTATTTACAATTGCGTAAGTTCATTAATGTTGTTATTTATTAATTAAATATCAATTAATATCAATTTAGTTGAGTTCAGTTATAAATTAAGTACTTTAAAGAAATGTTAGATTTAAATTGCAATCCACATAAAAAGAATCGACATTAAAAAAGTATAAATTTTGAATCATAAACTTTCCGCTGTAATTTAAGTTATATAAGAAATATCGTATTTTTAATTAATTAAGGCAGAAAATATGTAGATATATAGACACATTTTAGATCATGAATTATTCTCTGCTGTAATTTAAGTTATATAAGAAAATTTGTGTTTTTAATTAATTAAAGCAGACAACATATAATACTAAATTTTAGATCACGAACTATTCTCTACCTATAATATAAATTGTATAAGAAAATTGGGGCTTCTAATTAATTAAAGCAAAAAATATTAAACTTTGTCTTTTACTTGTTAACACTAAAAATTTGTGTAACTTTATATGTAATAAAATAGGTTAAAAAAATATTTAATTAATAAATGGCAACATTAATGAGTATGCGCAATTATAAAATATTATTAAATTATCATTTTCCAACTTATCGACATTAAAAAACTTTGAAATTAAATTAAAAAAAAAACAAGACTTGTCCGACAATTTTCCTTCTCGAAATATATTCCATACATAAAAATACACAAATTTACAAAATTACAGGAAAATCGAAGGTGGGAACGCTATACTGAACATTTACCCAAAAAATATCATTAATGCTCATTTCCACCAATGTAGATTAATTTTAATTTTAATCTCAGGGTTCAACTTACCTTTCATCTTTTCCTAGTTTTAAGAACTAGAAAAAAATGAAATTGAACCAAGACTAAAGTCAATCTACATTGGTAGAAATAGACATTTATCTGTTCTTTTAGCTGAACTTCTTACACAGTTTATCTCTTTTCTCTTTCTTCTCTCCAACATGAAAAAAAGAGGAAGGATAAATTATATGTAAGAGTTTAGTTAAAAAGAATAAGTCTATAAACACAACGTCCAATAATGAACACTTTTTGAATTATTATATAAAAGGTTCTCACTGAGCACAAGTTTTATACCTTTGATCCACCGTAGCTCCAAAACTATCTATTATTGAGTCTTGTCTGTAATATCTTTTGTTCGTCGCATTATAAGTAATATTGTAAGGGTCGACGAAAAAATTAATGAAGTCTATCGAAACTTGAACTCGTTTACAAATCTATCACTCAGTGTGCTATACCGACGCTCCATCGTTGTCATAATTATTCCGGTCGTCTATGTATATTTTTAAATGGCTTTATGGCCTGCGGTTCTCTTTATATTCCCCTACAATATTATGTAAAAATTGATTAATTTCATCGGAATCCAATTTTCTATGTAATTAGTGTAAGGGCCTTTATAAATGCTCATGAATTCTTTATTTTCAAGCGAATATCCATAATTACTAGTAGAGTTTCTTTACATTTGTATACAATAATATAATTTTATAGACTGTCATTAGTCTCAATCATCTTCCTCTTCATCTGGTTCTTGTAAATGATCTAGTCTAAGTTCTTTCGAGCGGTCGACTTTAATGACTGGTCGATTCTGTTTACATGTCTTCTTTGGTTTCTGTCCAATCACATATTCTGGTAAGATGATCTTACTACTTTTGAATATAGGCTTGTCATCCGGTTCTGCAATGTTTTCCATTATTTCTCTTGTTCGTGGTTTTTTAAATGTGATCTGCGACGACGATGCTCTTTTCTTAAATTTAAATCGCGTCTCTGTAGAATTTGATTCGCAAATCTCAATGTCCATCTCCTCCCCACATTCGTCAATTTCCTCTTTCTTCCTACGAGCCTTCAACTCTCGCAGGAATGACATAGCAGCCTGTGTGTTACTGTGCTCCGTCATGTCTTCGCTGGATACATCATCCAGAGAATACTTGACCCACTTGTGTGGATTTCTATGATAATCCGGAATATTTCTGAAATTCGTGCGTGGCGCCGGACCTTCTGGACGCTTAAAGATACTCTCCTTGCCGCTAAACCTCTTTGTTTCTCTCTTCTGCCTCCGGTCGTCACTTGGAGCTGGCCTTTTCCTTCGTTCGCTCATCTCGGTATTGTCCGTCTCCGGTTTGTCATGTTTATTGCATTTGTTTTCCGCAATCAAGAGCTGATCGAATAATGCCTGCTGCCTATTGGCGAATGCTGCATCACCACCGCGTAGAGTAAAATTAGTTGAAGTATGCATTTCAAAAAATAGCGAGGCTTCTTGGCTACAATTATTCATTTTACAAATTTATCATGTTTTTTGAAATAATGAATTCAATATACACATTAAATATCACATATTACAAACCTCGAAGTTGATATCGTTGATGTTATATTGATTGGGGATGTTATATCGCCTTTGTTTGGTTATGTTGACGTTTTGTTTCGCAACAACAATATTTCTATAATATTGCAGGAATGTTTCGTGATGAATCGATTTTCGTTGGTTGCAAATACATACAATAAACAGGATATATTTTAATTCTGCAATATATTGGAAGAATGTGAAATAACTTTCCTTATCCACTCTGGTCCATTCCATCCATCCTCTCTTTTTGTTTCCAACGTCTATTGTGCATCTATCTCATTTCAAGTGCAGAATAGTGCAGAAAACTATCAGAATGTTTTCATTCTAACCTAACCTTAGCTTTAACTGTCCAATACGAGCTGCACGAGCGGGAATGGTTATAGATCTTGTGTCAATTTCGAATGACGCAGTTCAGGTATAAACATTCTGCTTGTTACTTGCAGGAATCAATTTCGATCTGTTGACACCGTAACGTGTCTCCTCCGACAAAATGAGTAAACGGTTGAAGCTGACTGGTCTCTCGGCAAGAACTTTACGTTCGGGCAAAACCCTCGTTAACGCGGACTCCTCGGAGAAAACGTCACCCTACTTCGTCGGCGAAGAGAAAAGGACTAGCACAAAGAAACATATACCGATTAAGATCAAGCATGAAATGGTGGAGAACGAAACGAACGTCAAAGAGACGCTAATAAAAAGTGAAGATGTAGAGTTGTCGACAGATGTAAAAGATATCAAAACTGAAGAATGTGAGATAAAGAACGAGAATGTGGAACCCAAATTGGACCCAAAGAACGTTAAAGATGAGAAACAGTGGATGCCGCCGAATTGGGAGACTATTCTTGAAAATATTAAAGAAATGAGGAAGAGCGAGACAGCCCCAGTTGATACAATGGGCTGTCATAAGTGTACAGATCCTGACGCCAGTCCCGTAGTGTCTAGATATCAATCGCTAGTAGCTCTGATGCTGAGTAGTCAAACAAAGGACCAAGTCACCCATGCTGCTATGCAGCGTCTGAACACTTATGGTTGTAAACCAAATATTATAGCAGCTACCCCTGACGATGTTCTAGGCAAACTTATATATCCAGTTGGATTTTGGAAAGTAAAGATCAATACTTATTTATTTACAAGATATTTTTCTTATCTTAAACTTCTCGTCACATTTATAAAATCCATTTATTATCCATTTACAAGATTTATTTTCTTTTTAGTAATTTTTAATTTTTGTTTATATGTTGAACTGTTAAGTTATTTGTAATTATATACATATTTTTTTATTTTTAGAATTTCCTATCAAGTTTACAGTTAATGATTTTTTTGTATTAAAAATATTTTCTTTTTAGAAAAAGGTAGAGTATATAAAAAAGACGTCAGTGATCCTTCTAGATAAATATAGTGGTGACATACCGAAAACAGTAAAAGAGTTGTGCGAGTTGCCAGGAGTAGGTCCTAAAATGGCTCACCTATGCATGCGAACTGCCTGGGGAGAAGTATCTGGTATCGGCGTGGATACACATGTTCACAGAATATCCAACAGATTAGGATGGGTAAAAAAGCCAACCAAAACACCGGAGCAAACGAGAAATGAATTGGAGGATTGGCTTCCTAAACCTTTGTGGAGCGAAGTAAATCATCTCCTCGTAGGATTCGGTCAAGAAACTTGTCTACCACGATTTCCTAAATGTTCGGAATGTCTCAACAAGGATATTTGTCCCTTTGCTTCAAAAGGTGGAAAAACAAAGAAGTGATAAATGCATGTTTATGTAATACTTATTACAAAATATATTTATTTAAAATTTGTGCAGTAAATTTATCAATTTCCTAGCGTTTGGATTTCTTTTTACTCCTCTTGCCACGTTTGTCTACTAGCCCCTGTGTTTTCTGCAATTTTTGTCTACTTTGTTTTTTATTTTTTTGTCGTTCTAGTCTCTGCTTTTGTTGAAATGCCTTACTTTTTTTTACGCGTTTCAGCGCTGCTTTCTTTATTTCTTGTTTTAATTCTTTTGCAGATTTTATCTCATGACTGTTGGATTTAGATTTTGGCTGCACTTGATTCTTACATTTCTCTTGCAATGACATTCCCACAATCTCGTCATCGTCGTTACAACTTTTGTCATTTTCCTGCTCTTCTTCCTTTTCTTTTACAATTTGGTTTTCACCTATCCATTTTTTTCCTTCTGTAAGGTCTGCAACGTTCAACTCCAAAATACTAACTGTATGACTACCTAGATCAAATTCTTGTTGAGATAATAATTCTTGCAGCTCTGGGACAACTTGGTTCGATAATGATTTCTTATAACGTTCTCGTGCCTAAAAAGTAATATCATGCTTTCTCCAATTCTTCAAGAAATATCTCATTTAAAATAATATGTGACTCACTTCTTGTTTAATTTTCTTTCGCTCCTCTTTCAGTTGTTGCTGTAACTGCTCCTGGGCTTTTCTTTTTCGTTCTAACTTCCTCTTACGAAATCCTCCTAAAAATTCTCTATATTTTTGGGTAAATATAAATTAATCTGTATCAAACTATATGTAAGTACATGTGTCAACTACATGTGATTTTGCGCAATAATTACCGTCGTTTCTCCTCGTCGAAGACAAGCGTGATCTTTTTTCGCCTCTTCGGTTGACTGGGTTTTCTATTTACATTAAGTAATTGTGGTTGAGAATTTTTAAACATAATTGTAATTATGTTTACGATAGGTTATGTACACTAGCACTAGACTACTAAAGATTAGTTATGTCGAAAAAAAACCTGTGTCGACCGTACGATCATGAATTAGGCCCTGCGCACAATAGAGGAAATATTAGGAACAGGAATATATATTAAGATTTTAACCTATCAGATACCAGTTACACCGGAATACACGGTTTCTGATAGGTTGAAATCTTAATATCTATTCCTGTTCCTAATATTTCCTCCATTGTGCGCAAGGCCTTAAAAGTGCAAGTGACACAGATCGGCAGATTCTATGGTGGAAGAAACTCGGGTGTGCTCTTGTGCGTACATTTAAACTGCAAATGAGAACGTGACACCATTTGCTGCCATGTTGCCGCGGTTATTTGAATTAGGCATTATTATTTTACATGTCATTACTTATTTTTGTTTTTAATTATATTTGCTTACAATATACAATATAATGAATTTGGTTTTATCTTTTTCTATAATAAAAAATAATTTTCTATATTTTATTTGGCAAGTACCCATTTTATGGTTTCTCGAACTGTTACGTCAAAATTTATAATTAATTTTTTTAGAATTTTTATAGGTTATATAAATCAAATATTTAAATATTATTTATTTAGAATATTGCAATATTCTCGGTGGAGTATTTCCATATCTATATTTGGATAATAAATTAAATTTTGTCATAAAATAAGTCATAAATCTAAAGATATGTCTTCTTAGTTATATTAAGGCAGATAATGAATTAGGATCATCTGGTTCTAATTTAGCTTCAAAGGAGAAATTTCTTAATTATAAGCACAGCAAACACATAATACAATACTAGATTTATTATTAATCACACACACATTGAAAATATAGATTACAATTTTGAATGCGGAAACATACTGTTTAGAAATACAAAAATACAGGAATGAAATTTTACATTTGTATTTATAATTAAAATCAAGTTTATTATCACAAGATTTATCCCCTGCCTCTTCCAGGTTGAGATCCACCTGGTTGATTCTGTTGATTTAGCCAAGGTGCCGAACCAGTACCTTTGCCTCTTTGATTTTGTCCTCTTCCTCTGCCACGAGCTGAAAACATTTTATTACATAGAATTGTCAAATGTGTACAAATGTAATGTATTCAAATATTATCTTAAAGAGAATTTAAACTAACAAGAAATATTTATTTTTTTATATACATTATTAGATATCTTTTATTACTCAATATTATACATAAAACTATTAATATCGTTTCCTAATTGGATGAATATTATAACTTAATTACTTTCTATTTAATTATTCTAATGTAATTCGACTCTAGAACAGATGTTAAAATTTTATTTCTAATCTTTTTTCTGTTAAGTCCAAGAGCTTGTTTTAATATCAAGATACTGTCAATACTAAAAATCTAAAATTTGTGTCTAAAATGTTAAGTCCATTTTGCAATTGTGTAAGCATAGTTGTATGTAGCTGTGGTTGTAAGAATTAATAAATTATAGTCGAATATTCTTCTATTTGACTATGATTGGTCAATTCTTACAACTGCTTATGCTTATCAGACTAGAAATTGAGTTCTCTTTCTTTTGATTGATTAATTCCAATCCAATCTTAATCTCTGACACAGGCAATTGTAGAATGGACATTACGTATATTACAGATTTTCGATATTACAAGTGTATATTGGAACACGGCCCAAATTATGTCCATTTCTACTAATATAAAATAACTTTAATCTTGGTTCAATTTACTCTTTACTTTCTTCTAGTTTCAAAAATTAGAAAGATGAAGAGAAATTTGAACTGATTAAAATTCATCTGCATTAATGGAAACCGACATTAGTCTGCTTTCTTTTACAAATGTCCATGTTTTTCAGGATATAGTATAAAGTAATCCTACACTGTCAATATTAACAAATACTAACAATATTATTGATCATGTGTGTATATTGATGGATTAACATAGAATACTGAAGCTGATCTGAATTTTGATTCTCGAGCATCAATATTGCTTTATTAGGATCCATGTCATAGTATGTCGGAGTGCAACAGATAATGTACATAAAACTAAAGAGAAATAATTGTCAATAATACAGATTGTGTAAGGTTGTAAAAATATTGAAATATTGATGCATACTGTCAGTTACTGGCCTAGTTTACACCCTACGTTTAGGCCGCTACCTATATTCTAACTTAAACACAATAAATCATGACAGTATAAATAGCTGTAACTTCATTTAGGTGAGGGATCTTTTTCAAGATCCCTGATCTCTTTTAGGTCGCATGACCTAATCAGCTTTAACGCATGTAAATGCAGGCAGACGGCCTAAAGGCGTAAAGTATAAAGAAATATTAACAGATAGCACTCATGCGAGACTAAATGCAACCTACATTAGATCCAAAAATATTATAGGTCTAGATGAGGTAAACGCTCCGTTCGAGACCTCCTTTAGGTCAGGGTGCAAGTCAGGTCGTTGGGTGTAAACTAGGCCACTAATTCAATATTACTGATTATTATTATTAGTTATGTAGGGTCATCTTAACTTTGTCTATTAATTTGAATAATGTTTGTAGAAATACACGA